GCCTTAAAAGCACACCGATCAGAAGATTAATTTCCTTTTTTGGAACTCTCCGCAGCACCCTCTCCGTATCGTAGGCCGACCGCAGATCGAAACGGAAGGGACTGAGGAAAACCAATACGAAAGGAGGAGAGGGCAGACAGTGCCAGGGGCAATTAAGTGGTTTCGCCGAAGGCGTTCGTAGATGACGGGACGAAAACGGAGGGGAAGTTCGCGACGCGCGTGCCATTCGTGTGCCTTGCCGAATGCATCCTACGATTATCGCGGTTGCTTTTCATTTCACGAAAGGGAGAAATACTTGCAGGGTTGCGTGCATACTCTTTTTTTTTTCACTCGTGAGCAAACGGAATGAAGGGTTGGAAAGTGTTCGGACGGACTCGGTGCTACAGCTGTGCTGGCGCCAGACTCGGACACGGGCGGTTTCATCTTTTCCTTCGTCTCCTCGGTCTGTTTACAGCCGCGTCACTCCCGATGCAGTGCGATGGCTTTGGGTAAGTGCCTACAAATATCCCAGTGTTTGCATGCGACAGGAGGAAAAACAAGAAATACTGCGGAGTGAAAACATAGCGTATTCGGTGTCACCCAAGAGCCCGAAATTGATGCTCTCGATCATGAAATGAGCATGGGTGGAGCTCAAAGAGAGCGACAGACGGCATTTCTTTTGTCTGTTGCGCTCATTTTACAACTCTGCTCGTTTCAAGCCATTGGCACCATGACTAAGCAATTGTCCCATGAATTGACAAAATTTTCGTGGAACCGCTCGATGAGCTGTTACAGAAGTAAAGCACAACAATTTACCCACAGAGTCTGACAGTTATTCAGAAAGAAGTCACTGTTAGAGATATCTAGAGTATCTTCCGGAGATAAAAATAAAAACTTGATATCTTAATTTTCTGACCATGAGACCGTGAGATATTTTCTTAAAATAGCTTTTTCTTGATTATGCTGCTTCTAGCATTATGGGGGGAAATATTTACAAGGAAAAGTCGTTCCTTATTTTGAAAAGGAAATCGATGCTCTTGCTAAAGCTGATCATCCCATCCAAAGAAAAAACTGGAATGGAAATCGAAATTGAAACGTAGAAACTAGGAATTCGAGAAAATGATTTTAAAAAGACGCGTACTTTTCTGAGGAAGGCTCCACTTTCCACAGTGCGTCGGTTTACTATTTTCCGAGAGCTCCTTTTTAGCAGTAATTTTTTGCGTTTTGGGGGGATCAGCGACCGCAAGGCCGACGGCCTGCGGGCGAGCGCATCCCTCCTCGGAGAGGCTCTTCCATCGTGAGGACGAAGGAACGAACGGCGAGGGAGGACGACGGGGGGTCGTCGTTGCCACGCATCCGCCTTCTCCCGAACGACACGCTGACGTTTATTATCATTAAACATCGATTCACGACGAAGACGAGAAAACTTCAGATATGTCCGTGACGAAAGCGTCACGCACGAGTTACACTCGTCCAAAAAGGGATTCGCGCGATGCCCACCTTCCAATTTAGGATGGAAGGAGAAGGCAAAAGAAGGAAGAGCGGGGTGAAAGCGGAGGCGGGTGGAGGACCCTCTCCACGCGAGAGTGACGCGTGTATGTGCGGGCGGGTACACACCTAACACGAGATGAGTTTCTCACGTGACATGACGCGGCGATTAATTGCGTGCCGTCACCCACGACTCTTGTCGTTCGCGTCGACCCGACCCAAATATTTGCCCATCTCGACATGGATTTATGATTTCAAGAAGAGGATCGAGAATTTTTGGACCCGAAGACGCGGATGTGCACGCGCCATCGTCTGTGACGTCACGGTGCATTCGCGTTGTAGTGGCTCATCGGGCGATACAAAGCTCTGTTTAATCGCAGTTAATCCACGTTGCGGGTAAATATGGCGACCCGGAGAGAAGTCGAACATCACTGAACCCCTTCCGCAATGGTCAACATTTTTTCGATATTTCATAGGGCTGTCAATTCGATTAGATTAATCGAACGATTAATCGATCAAAGTATTATTCTCGATTAAAAATGATTAGTCGAAATTAATATTATTTTAATCGACACTCCAATCTCCCCCTGAATGCCTCTTCCCCTTAAAATTTGACTGTGTAGTTCATAGTTTTGCAAAACACCCGGAAACGGATGCTTTATTAAGGGAATGAAATGTAATGTTGGTTTATACAGTAGAAGGTAGTCGTTTCTTCAATGCTCACTCTTCCCCAAAAATGATATACTGTACTAATTTTAGAAAAAGGGAACACGCAAACGTGAATCCATCGCTCTCAGCTAATTCCAAAAAGCGTTCTTATCCACGAGCGTACTGGTCTGAAACTTGTCCATCCGGTTATCCGTCGGCCTAGGAAGGCCTCGTGCGTTTGGCGAAGGTAGCAGGGACCAAAGGCAAGGCGACCGAAAAGTCGCTGAGTGCGAGGGGGGAAAAGAAAAAGTCGTAGTGAAGAAGCCGCAAGGGAACGCGCAGAAGGAATATAGAACATGGGACAGGAGAGGCAGGAAAGAGGATCGTGTAAAGATTGAGGGAGTGAGAGGCGTACGCGTATGTGCGCCGGCGAAGGTCTGCGGGAGCCCCCGGAAAGTAACTGGGAGGGGGGAAAGGGGGGAAAGCCGGAAGCAGGCGAGAGAAGAGGAAGTGGAAGGGTGAAACCCTCTTCTATTATTTGCTTTTTTCTGTTCTTTCATCCTGTGTTGCCCGTGAATCGATAACGAATCTCCACGTTATAAAGTCAGTGTACTTCCAAACATTTAGGTTACATTTTTACATCCCCGTGATGGTTTGGCCAAATGGCTAGAGACCTCTGTGTGTTTCTTTGCTTAAATTCCATTATTTATCTGGCTAAGTTGCAATTATTCTCCCGATTGGAATGTCACATGTTGAAGTAGCGTGTGCACGGATAAGGAACTGCTGTTAGCGGTGCAGTCAACCCTAGCTCCACTCCTTTTTCTTAACCCAAACTCCCCGTAGCCTCGTCGAGTAATTCTCGAGACCAAAGTACAATAACTTCTAACTTTAGGAGACTCGAATTTGACCGTCACGGTTGGACCTGCTCGAGGGCGAGTTCGACCTTCAGTAGTGGGATTTTTTAACGTGCCACATCTCGAGGCGGGGGTGCCGGAGGATCTCCATTCGCAAACACGAGGGTCTTCCACTTTGGGTCTCCTGCCACGGGAGCCAAGCCTGGTTCTAACCGAACCACTCGTGTCCACGTTTACACTTCCCACGCCAATCTTGAGAGAACTCGGAGTCCTCTCGAGACTCGGGCCGATTGCAAAACGACATGAGGGGGGGAGCCGAGGGAATCCGCGTGCCCTCGTTTCCATACGTTTGCCTGCTGGGTGAATTTACTGTGGTTCTTGGAACGATTTTGCGGTCTCCGTTGAACGAGAAGAGTTGGGTGTGGAAAAGTTTTTCAGAACTACCGAGATTGTAATTTTGATTTGCATTCACTAATTGAAACGATTCAGGAATGTCCAGGATTTTCCATAGGCTCTTTCGTAGGGCGAAAAAGTGAAGGAAGATTACTGGTTGCCCTTGGATCTCAACGGCCAAAGGCCTCGGTCCGGTGGAGCGTGGCATCACTGGCCTGTTTATGGCCGCCGTCGGGTGTCAGACATGTGTTCGCTTTGTTTTGCAAGTTGCGTCTTGTCCTGTTTATTTTTTTTTTAATCCCCTTTCTCTTCATATCCTGTTGCGTCTTGTCCCGGTGACTAAGGCGGTCTTTAATTTGTTCCTGTTGCTTGGAAATAAGCTACTTATTCTGGGTGAGACCGTGATTTGCTCCAGTTTCAGAATGATAGCCCAGTTCCATTGTTCCGTTTTCCAGACAACTACCAGTTGACTTTCGTCTGGCATGGTGAGCATGTTACAGACCTCTTAGTGAAGGTATAGATCTCATTGGTGGGTCTGGGTAGCATGAATACCTAGCAGAGGAGATATTAAACGTTTCAACAATGTGGGACTGTCACAAGTGTGGAAAACCCGTCTATTTTGGTAAGCTTTGAACTTTGGCCTAATCTTCATTGTATGATACGTTGTATGATACTCGACTTCAGTGTAATATTCTCCTGGGCTCTGTATGAGACTCATATCTAAAACCTTAGTGTAAGGATGCGTTAACCCTCTGCACTCCATTATTGTGCCCCATGTAACATAACGAATTTACAGTTTTGCTCCTGCATTGCAGTATGCCTGCTACCCCGTCTTTACGCGTAACATCTTGACCTTCATCCCAGGAGCTGTTTCAAGAGGTTTTACTCCATGAAGGAGTACTAAGTTAGAGAGTCACATCTGATTTATCTTAGTAAAACAAGAATTTTTAATTTTCATTCAGTAGTTCCTGAGAAAATGAATGATGCTTGATATTTGTTCAATTTTGTTTTTGTATGCTTTATGGTTTAGCGGAGAGGAAGGTATCAATAGGGTTCAGCTGGCATCCTGAGTGTCTTCGATGTGAAGAATGTGGTAAATGCTTGCATCCCGGGCAACATGTGGAGGTGAGGATTCTGTCATATAGACGAGACAACATGACTGTGTTTTGCATATTCTGGTGCTGGTGAAATTGGAGGCAAGCATCTCCCTCATTGTAGCTTCCCAATGAAAGTGAGGTTATGCTTATTTGAAAAGGCTTGTTTGTCAAGATATCTATAGATGCATTTTACTTGAGACATTTTACACCATGAGAAAAATATAGCTCCCTGGTTTGGAGAAGATAAAAATAAGCTTCATGGGTAAAAATGAGTGTTTTTGAAAATAATCTTACACTCTTTAGAAGGCTAGATTGGACCCCAGGGTAGTAGTGGCAAGATTTTCTGGAATTGTAGTTCCAATCAAATCATAAGTAATGGGATGGTCATCAGTATTTTTTCCAAATTTCCAGTCTATAAATTCTTTTTCAAGTTTGCTATCTGTGTGGCAATTTATCCACTATCAATGGATCAGTTTCATTCTTATTATTCCTTGTCATTTGATATCTTTTCTTATAAAGTTTTTTTTTTTATTTTGGCTAGCACAAAGGACTGCCCTACTGTCACCTTCCCTGCTACCAGGCCCTGTTTGGCCCTCAGCTCTTTGGTCATGGCTCCAAAGTGGAATCTCACTCCAGCTTTGGAAAATCAACCCAGATGCCTCCTTCAAGCAGGTATTCATATGATAGCATTCTGTCTGGTAGAAATGTTTATTTATTTATTTATTATTTTTAAGCAAATTGGATATAGTTGAGGGGTTAGAAATCTGAGGAGGAGTAAATGCATGTATGTTTTGAACAAATCTTTATATGTAATATTCACAATGGATTTTCCTCAGATATTGTGAATATTACATATTAATTACCTCAAAACTGAACACTTTTTGTACAAGAGACCTAAACAATTTTTTTTCTGAATGAACTGAATGAAAGTGTGCATAAACTGATTCATTTTTCTGGTTTTATTTATACTGGCTACTGTTGAAGTGCAATGCTGAATTATAGCTAATACATGAAAGTTGGATTCATCCCTCATTGCGGTACATATTTGGTTATTTTTTTGTAGGCTGAAGCTTGAGAGGAAACTTTCAGCTTATAATCGGCATTATGAGGGCAAAAGTGGAGAATTGCGATCTCGAGAGGTCAATGGCCGTCTAGTTCTAGAAGGTGTGCTAAGGATATATTGGGGTGTGACACGAAATATCTGTCTGAAAGGGGAAGAGGGAATCCAAATACCCAAGCCTCACCACCTACCTGTTCCCAATTCTCATTCACCTCCAGTAAGTCCTTTCAATTTCTTTCATTCACTGCAATCCACTACCTGGTGTTAGGTATAGTCTTTATTCATTTGTAGGTTGTCCAAGATAAATGTGCTGTGGGGAAGGATGGAGTTGATGACCATGCAAAGACTTTGCCTGCTGCAGTGACATTGAAGGAAGGCACAGAGAAGCAGAGCATTGCTTTTCAGTCTCTCCCTCATGCGATCTCATTATCTGGTGTTGATGGTGTTTTGAAGAATACAAACAATGAGGAACAACTTCATGGTGTGCAGACCAACCTGAAATTTGTAGCCACTGTTGATCAAAGCCCAGCATCACAACCTCCAGCAAAATGTTGTGAGACATTGGAAGTCATTGGGAAACGGAATCGACACCTTCGTCGTCGTCCAGGCAAACGAATGGACCGCAACAAAATCAAGCGTCGCAGTTCCATCAATGGGCACTTTTATGACCGAACGACAAGCGTTTTTGTACCTCCACATGGGAGTGTGGCTCATGTGTGGATCACATCTCTGGTGCCAGCAACTGATGTTATCAGTCTTCTCCTGGACAAGTACAAAGTGGATGCATCTCCCAATGAGTTTGCCCTTTGTATTGTCTGGGACAATGGTGGTGAGTAGCTTACTTTCACCCTTGGACATAACCTGGACCATTAACTTTTTCCTGTCCGCTGTTGAGGGACACACAACATTAGATTTTTCTTTGGGGGATCCTATGTTGGGGAGGCCTGACATGACATGTTGGGGAGGCCCCACCAGAGAAAAATACTGTAGGATGTTGGAGCCAGGACCAGAGAAGTCTATGAAAGCTTTATAACTTACATTTTCTTTCACTCTGCCAGGAAATATGACTAGGTGCCACAGCCTTTTACAGGGTGCCACCATAGATAGGGTACCACAAATAAAGTTTTTAAAATTATATTTGCATTTCCCCTTTCTCTACCTCAACCTATTTTGTGTTTAAACTTTCTTTGTGATTTGCTTCTTATGAGGGGAGAACCAGCAAGAATATATATAGTAAATGTTTTTATTTTGTGATCTATATTGAACAGTGTGAATGGCAGTACACCAATTTCATTGCATGAATTTCTGCAAGTTGTGATGCCTGCTCTTGTATTTGCAGAGAGACAACTGGTGCATGATGATGAATATCCACTTGCTCTGAGAGTGCTGAAAGGACCCCAAGAAGATGTGTGCAAGTTCTTCCTCCTGAATCGTTTTGAAGCAGAAGATATCCCACCTGAGGTGGCCCAGTATCTTCCATTTAGCCTCTCAGAGCTCTCCATCTTCCTTGAAGGCTTCTATGATGAGGAAGAACTGGAAGTGGAACGAGTGAGGCTCAAGTGAGTCTGACTAAAATTAAACTTCAATACCTATGTATATTGTAAAAAAAAAAAAAAAACTGCATCCCTTTTCTGTGAGGAAATTACAATTCTTTTCCTAGAGGGTGCCATGTCTTGTGTGGACATTTCTTCATCATTTTTGGAAGATACAGCATTTTTAGTCTTTCATCCCTTCTCTTTATGCTGTAAAAAAAATCAAATCAAACGAAATCTCATTGGTCACAATATAACTGAACGTCACTCTTGTCACGCCATTTCAAACATTTCACTCTGGATGTATCAGTTGATATTCTTGGCATCTCTTTCTGCATTCAAGTTTTATGATTCATATGACATCCTTACTTCATGCTTCAGAATGGGACCCAAATCTTGAGTTTATCACTGGAAATTCTGCAACAGTAGGGGGATCATCTTGGAGTTATGTTAAGGTTATTGTAATTTTTAAAGGTCTACTTCTCCTTATCCGAATCTGACTTCTAATGAGATTCTAATTCCTCCTTTAAAATGATGAATTCAGAATTAAGTGAATTAATTTCCTGGCAATCCAAGTTATTAACACCTTCACTGGCAGATTTTCTTATGAGAGTACTTCAAGAATTTCTATGGCATACTGGTGCAGGGTTAAACAGCAAATTCACAATAATCAGGAACAGTCTTTGGAATACTAAACCTACCTCGAGTCTTTTTCATATCTATGGAATCTCTTATGTTTCAAATCAAACTATTCCTTTTCCTCCATAGCTCTTCTGTAGTAACCAGAAAATAAGTTAATCATGAAGCCATATTTTCTTGAATTCTAGACTTCTGGGAAAGCAGTAAGTTGAGCTGGTACTCTGGTGGGAATAGGATGGGATTACTTCAATAGTTCACATGCAATACTGGCCTTGTGATCTTCAAAGCATGTCCAACATTCAAATGGAAGTATAAAATGGCAAAAGATTAACCAGAAGTAGAGTTTTTAAACTTTGTACCAATGCAAATTTCTTTCATTAAAGGTTTACGTGCTTCTCTTGCTTTCTGACATAATACCTGTCACTGGAAAAGTCAATTCCACTAAAGTACTTAGTAATTTAATCATTTGCATGACTTACCTGTAGGTGTTAGATGCTATTGCTGTTTGAGATCCTGACTTGAGAATGCATCCTTTTGGCATAGCTTTCATACAGATTATTCCACTCCATTTACTAAGCAATAGTCCAAGTTCTACCTTCCACCCTTCTTGCTGTCAACAAATTTTGGCCCATTAGTAAACTCATGTTAAAGAGCATGGAGTGAAAAAGTAGGTAGTTCCATTGTATGATTGTTTCACAAAGTAAAGACTAAGAAATCTAAGCTCTCCTTTTATATAACTGCAAGGAACTACACATTCATTAATTATCTTCATCTCCTATCAATAATCTCCCCAGCTTCTCTTGGCCATAGTGCATTGCATTCACTCACTGTCAGCATGCTAAATATATTTCAGATAAGTGCATGATTGATATCCCATTTTACAAAAAGAACCATTTGGCTTTTTTCCTGACTGGTTTTTCTGCTGAAATTGTGGGACATATATGGTCTTTCTAGGTTCCATTACATGCGGTACATAATGGAATCTCGGATTCACAAGTTGAGAAGTGCCAAGGATCCACTTCCTCTTCCTGATGCTAGCTGATGTCACTTCAAGGATCTACGTCCTAGTGAATTTCCAATCCCAGCAAAAGCTGCTCACATAGTACAAAGACCCTTCCATTTGTATTGGTGATTGGTGTATATTTGAAGAGTCAGTTTATCATGGGAATCTCATCACTCAGGTTGCTTGTTTCCACCTGATCAGCCTTTCAATTCCCTGAATGAAGTTCTGTTACATTTTCATGGGCTGTAGTGATTGTTGGTGGGGCTCACATTTTTTCCTTTTGGACAATGAAATATTCACAGGGATGATGTGGATTGCATGTGTGCATGTCTGGCATGTCTGAGGGGCATAGTTAATGCAAATTCCAAAAAGCAATTAGCCAGTACCAATTAAAATTGTAATGATCCTGCAGCAATTAAAACCTAGTATCCCCTGGAGTTCCCAGGCTCCAGATGGTATGAATGGAAAGAACCAAAGGCTGCTGTGGCTGTTTGAGATCACTTCCAATGGATACTGTGCTGAATTTGAACTGGAGGGCTTGGCGCAAGGCAGTGCTATGCCACAGTACTACCAAGCTCGTTGAGATTGCATAATACATGTGCTATCTTTCATGTTCAAATGAAAAATTTTCCATCAGTGCAAGAGGGACTTTTGGGAGGCTTGAATCCTTCAGATGTTTTTATCAAATGGAGGTGATGGCATGACACTATCTTGCATTAACCCATTTCAATTGCTACATAGTGTGCATTATGATGGTAGCAGGTGGTGGCTAACAGAGGTGATCAGAGGGAAGTTTGAAAATAGCAGCTGGTGGTGGTAGTCATTGGAGAAGATGGCTAACAACTGTCACTGTTCACCATGAAGCCCATTGGATGTTGGCAGCACTTGTAATTGTGACAGTTTAGAAGGATGACTCATTGCTCCCTTTTGGGTACACACCAGCTGGCACTGCTATGGAAAGGATGGCACTTGTTTTGTAAAGGATGAGGGAAGGAGGTGGCTCAGAGGCAGTGCATCCACTTTCTTATTATAGGTAACATATTAACCATGTGCGGATTTCTAGGTTCACATGTAGTTGTTGCATTGGGTGTGCATAATGAAACTTAGGGAGAAACAAAGAGAGATGCATGGTTATGGGAGGGAGAAAAGAGGGGAATGTGAGTGCCTCTTAGACGCAATTGCAGGTATTTTGAAGTGGATGATTATTTCAAAATACCAAGTCATGAAGGTGAGTGATAAGAAAAGATCCATAACAGGACAAGTGATAAAGACTTTAAGTAGGGCTGTGCCGGTGGCCACATTTTGGCTGGTGGGCCGATGGCAAATTTTTTCCTTATTACCATTGGCTGGTGCCGGTGTCAATTGTGACCTGTAGAAGAAATCGCCCATAAATTCAAACAGGCCTAATTGGAAGCCATGTGATACTTATCAGTAGCCCTCCTTGAAATGGTAAGAGACCACTTTTGATCCTGTCCAGCCTGTCTGTCTCTGTGAGGCTGTCAATGGTTATTACCCATTGCTGCTGTTGAGAGCATTTAGTGACACAACCCTTGCAAAAGCATAATGTAAGTGGAGAAGCAATGACTTCCCTTCTTTACCACTCCTTTCCTCTGTGCTGGCAGGAGTGACTTTCAGTGACAGGAGGGCTGTCATCTAGCCCCATTCACACCCTCACAAAAATTTTCTTTTGCTTTGCCTGTCCTTTGGGCACCAGTGCCAGAGGCCAATGGCTGATAGTGCAACACTAGTGGCTCATACCAGTGTTAGCCGATACATCGGTACAGCCCTAACTTTAAGGTTTTCATGTTTCACTAAATTGACAAGAGGAGGGTTTGGTAATCAAGGATGGGCAGAAGGTCCTAGAAGATAACTATGTCAAGGTGAAATGGAGACAGAAGATTGCACTGCACTTGCAGTTTGCAAGGAGGTTAAATGTTACAAGCTTGCTTTTACATTATTGATTATGGGGATCCAAGGGGATGGGTTAGAATTGCAGGGGTTGGGAGGGGATATAGCAGGTGTATGTCAGCATGGGTGGAATGGAGGAAGGAGGAGAACCTGGAGGTAACTGGAATGGTGATGGAAGCTGGCTGGAGGGAATATGTATATTTCTGGTTGATGCACACCATCTGGTATGGAGATAACTGGAGGAGAGTTAGAAGATTGTTACAAGATTGAAATGGAGCCAAGCAGATCCCTCTTTCATTCATTCCTGAAGTGGGTGAGTCACTGACAGGCCAGTACCAGAGATAACTAGGACTTGGTTGTAAACATGCAACCAACTAATCTGAATGGACTACTGCTGCTAGGACATGGAGTATGGTGTCTCATTGCAGATTCCTCATGAAGAGTCAGCTGTTGATATTGAATTCTGGAGAAGGCAGATTAATATGTTTCAAGATAAAGGGGCACATGAGATAAATGGTTAAAAAGTGAAACTTGTGCAAAGAAGATGGAGGAAAATGTATATTCTGGTATATTGGCCAGATGGGCCTATACTGTGATATCACAAGAGTTACTTGACTATTGTACCTGTATTTGTTTTCCCTCTGCCTTTTTTGCATGAGACTTGTTTCAAAGCTACAGCCATGTATGTTCCAACTATACAGGTATTTTATCTTTATGGTAAATTTTTTTCTTCAAAAGTTCCTCTTGGCTGGTTTAGCCATGCAATAAGGAGTTTGTTGGTTAAATATTTGAAAATCTCTCTAGTGCAAGGAGACTTGCCAAAATTGCTGCATCATAGGTCATCTTTTCTCATGGATGATGGTATTGAGCCAGTTTCTTTTGAATTAAGTCAGTTCGTACTTGTCCAGAAAACACTGCAATACCACTCTGTCAACCATAGATAACACATAATGCAATACACGAGTTGGCATGAAAGTGGTCAAGTGTACTGGCCTCCTTCTGGTGAGAGACTAATGATGGATGGGGAGAAAACTCTTAAATTTTTCAATAGAAGAAAGCTTGCAGGATCTTATAACCAGGAACATACATAGTTGTTGCAAGGACCAATTCCTGAAAAAAAAATTCAAGCTGTGGCTTTTCTCCCTCTATGCTATATACTGTATTATTCAGCCATATCATGGCAAAAGAGAGTAGCAGTATCACTATCTCCCATTTTTCTCACCTTTTCTCCTCCCCTGCATTTTGCAGAGACAGGACCTTTTAAGAGCACCTCAGTCACCTACATATTCCTTCAAAATCCTTCTAGGATTTTATTACTTGTCATGGGTTCCAAGGAAAATTTCCTATCAAGCAGCATTTGACCATTATGCTCATGAAGCCTTGTGCATCTCTTGGAACTTGGTCCATCTATATTATGTTTAAGTAAAACTGGGTGTGACTGATTTGTTAAATTGACATCAGAACTAACTCAGATGAACTGGTGCCAACTCACTTTCAAGGCCTATTTGATGAGAAAATTGGGAAGGGTGAAGGAAGTTTGTGTATATTTAAAAAAATATTACTTTTGCTTGTAGGGCTCATTGGGGTAGTTCCTGAATACCTGCACCTATTCTTTGGATTCCTTATGTGCTACAAGTTTACTACAGGAAAATAGCTGGATGAAGTTAAGCATGTGAATTCCTGGAACTCCCAAGACCCTTCTGGACTCTGTTTTGCCTGGTTACCTTTCTGTAACAAAATCATCAGTTCATTCTGAGATCCATATTAACCCTACTCCTACTGCATTGATTATAACGTCATAAGTCTGCACCTGGAATGTTCTGGAACCTGCAGTACTAGGGTTAATGGCAAAATAGGGATCAGGCAGTACGTGATGCAATGCACACTAAGATCTGCCTTTAGCTTTCCAGTTGTCCAACATTGATAATATGCTAAGACAAAGTTTGTTTAGTTGCCTTCAGATATGTAATTTCCACATGGCTTTGCAGAATACACAATAGCAAAGTGACAAGGAAATAAAAAAATAAACAAGCATTTTCTTTGAAGCATCCCCCTTCACCATTCCTTGGTTATTTTGCTTGTTTTCTCTGTACTACTTCATCCAGGGACCTACCCTTCAGCTCTTAAATTCCCATGCCTTAGGAATTCTTTTTCCATATTTCATGAAAAATGCCCCTCCTCTCCTGACTGTTATTTTCAATTGTTAGTGGGATATCCTTCCCATCTTTACATGTTTCTAGTAGTTTCTAAAATTCCCATGCCAAATTTTACTCATAAGTTTGTAGCAAATTTAAAACATTGACTACTTCTCAGAACTATGTTTCTGGGGTAGAAATTCCCAAGGTCATTCCTCAAAGTCACAGGATGATAGTCCCTGCTATTTTTAAAGTTTCCCAACTCCACTTGCACTTCACTTTACACTTTATGAAAATCAGAGACATGAACTTCCTCAGCCTTCCTAAAATCTTGTGATTTATAATAATAGGTTCTCCAGCCTCATGCAAATCACTTCAGTCATTTTTGGGTCACTGCCTCTCAGAACAAGACACCGTGAAGCATAACTTTCTTTGAATTTTGTTAAGTTTGAGTAAAATGCTCTCTTTCACATTGGGATAGTAGAAGGCCAAAAATTATTTCTTCATCTGTGACTGGGTTCTTAAGACATGAGGTTATGTCAACATTGCATATTCAGTGACCTGGCAGAATTATTGTGCCTCATTCAATATATAATTTCAGTGGCAATTTAATAGTTGCTTTATGGCTCTCTATGAACCCATTCCAATATAATTGTGAGATATACTCATGTTGGAATTTAAAAATTATTCTGATACAATCGTGCACACCTAAACCACACTGAGGAACAACAAAGAAGCATTTTGAGATGTAAATAAAGATGTTGAGAATGCTATTTGCAAAAAGCTAGTCTTTCCTCTCATTTTCTTTAAATAAATTCTTGCTAATCAGATACTGTAATTAAATGAAGCGTTGGAAAGAGTTAAAACCATTTCTTCTCTTTCTTGATACCATATTGCTTCAGGTTATTTACAAAATTTAGCTTCTAATGAATGTCATGTGACCTATGATCTCATTTAGCAAAAAAAGTTTCCCTTTGGAATTTAATGATATCTGTATCTCTTCATCTGAAACTTGCATACTAAAAGTCATTCTGGGATATCAGTAGCTAATAATGGATTGTGTTCACTAAAAAGTGAAAAGTATCCCCATTCTGGCAACACGGGCTCTCCCAATTTCATGAGACTTTTTGAGGACGTGTG